TTTTTGTAAATTTTACTTATCACCTCAATAGATTTTATTATTAAATAAATAATAAAGTATATTTTTTTATTGTAGATTGTATTAATAGATAATAATTTTATCTTTAATTTCAAATTTTTTAACTTTTTATAGAAAGGATGTATCCATTATAAATTATTTAATATTAAATCATTAATGATTTCTAGAAAAAATATAAAATGTTGATTAAATCTTGTATTTGAATTCTTAAATGATAATTTGTGGAAATTTAATTTCAATTTAAATTAATTTTAATATAATTACCCTAAATTTATTTCGACATTTTGAAATTCACTAATTTTATGCAAATCATCCATTCTCATTATTTCTATTTACTTGATATCCTTAATTTGAATCTAATTTTAAGAAAGTAGTGGAGCAATAGATCCAATGTTTACAGCCTCAATATTTTATATAGGACCTAAATAATGCTATGATATAATTTATTTCATATCATTTTAGTTTGATTTGAATTTGTTTGAATTCTATTCAACAATAATAGAAAGAGAAGCCCTGTTGACTCTTTCCCAGACAACTAATTGTTGAATAAATTTAAATATTTCAGTGTCTTGCTTAATTTTTATTTTTTATTTTTTGAAAGGCTCTTCATATTAATTTTAAGTCATATTCATAAAAGTAGTTCCTGTTTATTCTTTCAAAATTAAGTAATTGTCAAGCAAAGATAGTAGTAAGCCAACTGAATAAGAATCCGACTTAAAACAAAAATTTATTTGTATATATTAAGAAGCAGTTATAAAAATAATTACTTTTTTAGAGTATATCTTATTTTAATCATCATTTTTAGTTAAAATTTCAGGTGCCATGTACGCCCAATTTCCTACCATCTAAAAATATATTAAAATTTCTTGATAATTGTATATTAACTAAAATGACTTACATCTAAAATTTCAATTTATTCACAATTTTTTTCAAGTTAAGTAGATAATCCAAAATCACCTAAAATTAAAATGATTAAATTGTTTTTAAAAATTAAAAAATATCAGGATAAATTACATAGTTTGATTTCC